TGCTGAAGGCAATTTATGGGTCCTATCAGTAAAGAAAGAAAGCTAGTCTCATGCCAGGGATATGTTTCTATTTCTAGACATCCTAAGAAATGTTAAATATAATTGAAGCAAATCAGGGAGTATTTTTAGAATGCTGACTTGTTGGATTTTGCTATTGTTTTTAGAATGAATGTTGCTCTGAAAGTGCTGTCATGGGCATTTATCTATAATCACTTGGGCGGCTGTTGCAGTTTCTGAGACCCTCCTGAAAGTTTGTATTCTCTAACTTCTGGGTTCCGTTTTTACCTTTTCACAGTTTATCTTATAACTCAATTTAATCAAAGATGTCTGCATGCTAGAAACATGATAATTGTATGTAATATGCATAGGTGAATCTTGTGACCAGGCCTGGCAGAGAACTCCTATTTACTGTTGTCTCACAGGACGAAAAATACAAAGCCAAGTCACAAGCTTCTAAATTCTTTTTTACATAGAAAATCAAATGCATTTGGTTTTTTTTATAAAATAAGTTCATCTACGAAACTATGTCACTTGGTGCTTGCTGCTGTTGGTGTCCTAGTTTCCTCTATATGAGAAAGTGCTTTAATAACTTTGGTGCATGCATAATGTATTGGCGCGCTTGCTTTGCTACTATAGTACTATATAATTATAAAGTAAAACACCAAAAAAGATGTCTTCGCTGTAGCCATTGCACTCAAGACAGGATCTCTTATTTGGCGTCTTATATTGCATTAATTGTGTCATGTTCAACTTTAAGCGGATCACCAAACTATTTGAAACGCTGTTTCACTAATTACATGATACTGCAGGTTTGCATTGATGTATTTGTTCAAAGACTTGGAGATATGCTTCAGCAGCAGAAATGTACAAGCTAGCTTTCAGCACTACTAGTACTGTTAATGGGAGAGCATCAATTGTGTCTCTTTACGGCCTATGCCTTTATGGGAGAGCATCACATGTTTAGCTGTTTATATACTGTAGATGAATCACTCATGAGCTTTTGAACAAGTACCATTACAAGAAGTTGTGTTAGCTCTGTTGTTAGACATTACAGCAAGGGCAGCTTGCCAGTCAGTCTTTCGTATACGATGTCATATGAAACGCAAGTGCTTTTTAGCAAACGCATGAGTAAATTAACAAGCCAATATTAACGTCTGTATCTACTTCGTTTATCCATGTAAGCATTGATGATTAATTGGAAAGGAATTGCACTTTACAGATTCATTAATAATATCAGATTTGCCATCTCAATGCCGCAGTCAGGTTTGAGTATTTAAACAGTATAGCCAGGCGGTTATAATTTAAAAATATATAGCCGCGCGGCTATACTCTGTAAATATTAATATATTCGAACATTTTAAGAGTATAGCCGCGCGGCTATACTGTTCAAATATATTCAAAACAAACACAAAGCTTGCACTCGCAAAGGAAGGATTGCAGTGATAGCCATTTCACTTCTCTATCGTCAATTTGTTTTCTTCGTGTTGATGCAGAGAAAATTAAAAGAACAATATTACCCGGAAAAATTTGTTGTGAAGGTGTGAATGATTATTGGGATTCCGTACTAAGTCGCTCTCTTTAAGACGTTTCTTGGCTCTGCCCAATTTGTGCAAGCAATTTAGAAAATGCCACTACATCCCCATGATAAAACAGCCCCAGAATCTCCTCTGTCTAGGTTCTTCCTTACACTGAGGAAGGACCAAATACAAACACCTTTCTACTACGTTTATCCATGTAAGCATTGATGATTAATTGGAAAGGAATTGCACTTTACAGATTCATTAATAATATCATATTTGCCATCTCAATGCCGAAGTCAGGTTTGAGTATTTAAACAGTATAGACAGGCGGTTATAATTTCTAAATACATTGGAATATTTTTAAATGTATAGCCGCGCGGCTATACTCTTTAAATATTAATATATTCTAACATTTTAAGAGTCTAGCCGCGAATACCCTTTAAATATTAATATATTCGAACATTTTAAGAGTATAGCCGCGCGGCTATACTGTTCAAAACAAACACAAAGCTTGCACTCGCAGAGGAAGGATTGCAGTGATAGCCATTTCGCTTCTCTATCGTCGATTTATTTTCTTCGTGTTGATGCAGAGAAAATTAAAAGAAAAATATTACCAGGAAAAATTTGTTGTGAAGGTGTGAATGATTATTGGGATTGCATACTAAGTCGCTTTCTTTAAGACGTTTCTTGGCTCTGCCCAATTTGTGCAAACAATTTAGAAAATGCCACTACGTCCCCATGATAAAACAGCCCCAGAATCTCCTATGTCTAGGTTCTTCCTTACATTGAGGAAGGACCGAATACAAACACCTTTCTACTGCGTTTATCCATGTAAGCATTGATGATTAATTGGAAAGGAATTGCACTTTGCAGATTCATTAATAATATCAGATTTGCCATCTCAATGCCACATGTTAGATTTTAAAGAGTATAGCCATGCGGCTATACGTTCTAAATACATTTGAATATTTTAAATGTATACCCGCGCGGCTATACTCTTTAAATATTATGGGTAATTACAAGTTATATTATTGCATAATAGGAACTTATTAGGTAAATTATATATAAAAAAATGCATTTATAAAAGTTGGGTATATTATTTGAACAATAAGTGAATTGATACTAGGTACATTATTTTTAGTAAAAGAAGTAATAGGTACGTTATTTTTTAAACTACTCTTGCAAGCAGGGGCGGAGTTATTCATAGGCCTGAGATGGCCTGGGCCCCCCCACCATCTTTTAACCTCTTTGACTATATAAAGAGTGTAATATATATTGCACAAAAAATCCCATAGTTTTAAGCTTGTGGCCCCCCCAAATATCAAACTCTACCTCCACCACTGCTTCTATATACACTATTACATTTATAAAATAATAATATAATAGATAATTAATCACATACACTTCATAAATTAATAAATAAAAACTTTTTTTTAATTAAATTAACTGATTAGGTATGTTAAATATGAATTTATTGTTAAATTTTAAAAGGATTCCAAATAAATTCCTACATCCATTTGGAGATCTTTCTAAATTCAACATGTCATTAGTTACAATATATTAAAATTTATTTCTATATTGGTTCCTACATTAATTTTTTGAAAAAATACAATAATCACAATAGAAAAAGTACAATAAATTCGATTTTGCGCTTGATTAGATAACTTTTTGAGTTGGATCCTAGTCATCGGGTTTTATTTAGAAAAAATAAGATTTCATTCAAACAAAAATGAAGAGAAGGGTTGTCTTGTATTTGAGGAAAAATGACTTTGAATGGGTTAAGCTAAATTTACTTTTTTTATTTTCTTTTCCATTTATATTTATTTAAACAAAAAATGCTGAAACTTCTTCTGAGTACTTGGAGAACAAACTTATGATGAAAAGCCAATTATTAAAATAAAACATGCTTTTGGATGCCAATTATCATTGAAACCATAACTTTGCCTGCATGAATAGTATAGTCCCATGTCGGCAGACGGTTTCAAAGCCAAAGTTGTCAATGATGAGACGACAAAGGAGCATCAGGTAGGAGATTAAGCAAAAGCATTTATAAGAAAATTGATCACTTAATCACATTCTCCCTCATAATTTCATGACTTTACAAAAACTTTGAATTCTCAATCTCAAGGAGGAGTAGTAACAAAAACTTATAAATATCTCTTACACATAGGTATCCTCCAAATGCATGGAGGTGGGTAAGCGTCACGAGCCTTGACTTACTTTAAATCTTATCGTATCCATGGACCATGCACCATGCTCCACCATGCACCAACATACACTTGTCGTGTTATAACATTGCCACGTGTTCCAGTTGTTAACGTGGCACTAGGATATGAAATCAGTATCCAGGTATGTGTAAGAATTTAACCTACATGCACATCATGCATGCCTTAACGTAATTGCCTATATAAAGCAACCCCTATTCTCACTTTCAATTTCAAATCCATCCAATCCAAGACAACTTACTTTCTACTCAAAAAATCAATCTACAATCTCAATTGTTTCTTTGTGTTGTTGTGAGATCCTTGAAAATGGCGAATTACCAGAACCAATATGGTGCAACTCCCCAATCTACAAATGAGTATGGGAACCCACTCACCACCTACACCAGATCAGAGCCCCAATCTACAGATGAGTATGGGAACCCACTCACCACCTACACCCAATCTACAGATGAGTATGGGAACCAATCTACAGATGAGTATGGGAACCCAGTCACCACCTACACCAGATCAGAGCCCCACTATACAGATGAGTATGGGAACCCAGTCCGCGAAAGGGGGATGATGGACAAGATCAAGGAGAAGCTCCCAGGTACTCATGACCCCTACTCATCTCATTCTCAGACAACCTACCCCACTGCACGTTACGGTGAAACCGGATACACTGGATCGGAGCAGCACCATGGGAGGATGGAGAAGATTACTGACCCCTACTCATCTCATTCTCATACTACCGGCACCACTGCATCTTACGATGGAACCGGCTACACCGGAACAGAGTACCGCCAGCGGAAGGGCACGATGGACAAAATCAAGGATAAGCTGACTGGGACTGGGGGACATAGGGCGGATGATCCCTACTCATCTCATTACCATACTCATACAACCGCCACCACCACACCTTACGGTGACACCACCACCACACCTTACGGTGGCACCACCACTACATCTTCACCTTACGGTGGCACCACCACCACATCTTCACCTTACGGTGGCACCACCACCACACCTTCACCTTACGGTGGCACCGCCACCACCACCTACCCCCGTGAAAAGAAGGGCATGATGGACAAGATCATAGACAAACTTGATGGACGACATTATTAAATCACTTCATATATAATAATAAATAGGGTTATGTAAGAGATAGATACGCTAGGTGTCGTTTTGTGTTCAATGTTTTAGTATGATGTGTATAATAAGCGGTGCTTGGTATAGTTCTTATGTTTGTGAACACCGAGCTCTGCGGCATGTCCTTTGTATTTTGTGATGCGTACTTTGTATGTCCTTATATCTATATATTTGCTCTTCTTAACAATAGTTCGTGTGCAAGCAAGTTTTAATTGTTTGGAGATGGATTTATTAAAACCAGCAATAGTCTAATTATTTTAAATTATTCTAATTTATAGGGAATTCAAACTTGAGGCTCACCTCTGCTATTATTCATGGTATTCACAATTGGGTTGTAGATAAAGAATTTTATGGCTATACGTTGTGTGGTATTTTATGGCACTTCGACAATAAAGTATCTTTTCCACACAAAAAAAAGTTGGTTCATGTCACGATCATTGACTTAACCCACGTATATTTTGAAACTCAAATTCTTAACCCACGTATACTTTGAAACTCAAATTCTTTTAAGTAAAAGCATTTAAATCTGGAGTCATACCATAACGAAGGCGGCTCTTAGATGAGATATTATCTCTTAATTGTTAAATTAAATTAATTATTTTAATTTAAAGATTAACTAATTTGATCTAATAATTAAGAGATAGGACGCCATCTAGACGAGACCCATACTATAAAATTTTACAAATTTATAAATAAACCAAATCCTAGATATGTATTTATAAAAAAACTCAAATATTATTTAAATATAGAAACATACCCAAAATTAACTCCAAAATCAACAATTGTATATTTTTTGAGTGTGTTTATAAATGGATTTTGAGTGTGTATAATGATGGATTTTGAGTGTGTTTATAAAGTGTTTTGGATGTTAGATTTTTTTATAATTTCAGCCCATATTTTGAGTGTTTTAGTGAAACTCCCGATGCTTAACAACATATTGGTCCATTTCATGTCGGCCGTTTGTAGACCAAACTGCTGAAATTGGGCCGGTTCAATTCAATAACCCTGTAGGGCTAGAACCAATGGATAACATCCACGTGGAACTTCATACACGGAACGATGAAATCCCTCTTATGAATCTTAGCCATCCAATGAGTCGGTCTGTGTGACAAAGATCAAGATGATGGCCAACTTTTACAAGGGTCAAAAGCTAGCGGAGTGGAACGGGTACAGAGGTAAGTTGTTCCTCCTGTCGTCATCAATTCCATACAGACGCGGTGAAATGACACCAGCTTCAAGATCAAGACAACGAGAACCACTCATTTTATCTTATCTTAATCGTAATCTTTAATCTTATGCTCGACGTAAAAAGAAAACAAAACATAAAGCAAAATATCTTCCTATGTGCCGACACCGGCATACACCTGTCCTGTCTCAACAGCGCCACGTGTCTCAAATGTGAATATCAGGCAGGTATGAAATTTACTTTGCTAATTATGTACGTGGGTACGTGTAAAGATTAATGAAATTATTTTATTCGTGGCATGGCATGCGCGTTATGCATAATGCATGCATAGCCTTTGGGTGTAGGTTCGTTGCCTATATAAACCAACCTCAGTTCTACTTTCAAGTACATCACTTCATCCCAAACAAAGCCAGTTTCGTTTATTTGGTTTTAGTCAGGAGTTGTTTTTTCTTGTGTTTGTTTTCTGTTCGTACTTTGAAAAATGGCGCATTTTGGTTCAACACCCGAGCCTACGAAGACTGATGAGTATGGGAACCCGGTTCATCACACCACCACCGGAACCGGTCGGACAGACGAGTT